CTATTTATCTATTAATACAAAGTTTATAATTTGAAACACACGTGAGCCTAAGATAAGTAATCGTCAGTCTTGAAGAATACCGCACAGGGTCCAATTATTCTAATAACTACACACTTCTTTTAGGTGTCCACATTCAGCTGCCTTTTGATGGGATAACTTTATGGATATTTTTTCCTCTTAGCTCCTTCGGGGCCACATTATGGTGCGAGTTGACGGCGGCTGGGACACACTCAATCATTTCTTACAGGAGCACGATGAGGGCAGAAAAGGTATGCCTCAGTGTGAGTTCAGAAAAAAATTGAGCATGCTTTAAGTTATAAGTCTCGCGTTATTTCCAGATTAAACAGGCATTGAAGTCGACACAGCTATTCTTGCAGTCACGTAACCGTGAATGAATCCTGCAGACAGACAGACTCATGTATATATTGATGAGGGAGAATGAAACTTAGTTTTTTTCCTTTAAGGTGACACCTCCCCATTATTGGCCCTGGACTTTCTGCCACTTATGTTACAATCTAGAAAAAAAGCAAACCTTTTGGTATTAGATTTTTATCTAGTTGTCAATCGTATGACGCTATGGACGCTATCTCTTTGACAAACTGCTTCCCTTTCTCACCACCAGTTTACGATGCGAATACGAAAAATGCTGATTGGACGGAGGGTCCCTTGCAACGGGAACCGCCGAAAGACTTCAAGCCGCAGGCGCTAGATCCGGAACCGGTAGATCTCAAGCCAACACCCTACGCCTATGTGGCTGAATTGGACAAGAACCGTGCAATCCTTCCTGGTGAAGACACATATGATGTGAGAATCCATTGGTATCTTTGGGTATCGTCACCCTTACTACCCTTGATGCCGCCGCCTCCGACGTTAAGGAAATTGACCTCAGGTAGCCGACAGTGACGCAGTGCTGTTCTAGACAGTAGCATACGTTCTGCATATAATGAGGGGTAAATTCTACCGTGAGTACTTCCTCCGTATACTTTTTTGGGAAACACTTGGTTTTCAGATATGTTCTTCTTTAAGCAGAATAAATTTAAGGAGAATCATGATAATTTCAACTGTCCCTATATGTGATTGGTTGACAAAATAGTGGGTCCAAAATGGTCCCACTATTTCGTTATGCATCTGTGGCACAACCCCGCATGCTCAAACTCCATCCATGTGGGAGAGGAGAACGCGTTTGTTAACTGTATGTGGTCACGTACAACAGAAGAACCGCAGATTCAGCTTTGATGTGGCGTAAGTAATAGGGAGAGCTAATGCCGAGATGGTCAACCTGCTGTTGCGGGAATGCTGATCCTCAACTGGCACACTTCTTAGGTCCAAAGCCTTGAAGCCCGTGTAAACTTATCTCCGTCTTCCCTCAATTAAGAGTTACATCTTGAGACCTGAATGCCCTGAAAGTCTATAATGACCTGACATGGACCCCAAAAATCTACAAGTTCTACCAGTTTTGATTACTTAAGCTTCCTTCAATCACTAACATGAAAGATCAAGAGCTAAAAGATGGAACCAAGGTTTTTACAAACTTGTGATCTTCTACGATTTTCGGACAGAATCTCATGATCCCCGTTTTACCTGTCAGCCTCATCGCGGTAGCCAGTAAATCATCTATAGTTTTTTAGCCTTTAACGCTTTTCACGTCTGCGATTAAATGTTGAATGACTTTTATTATAAAAACAATAAAAAACTACAGAATCGGCGACCCTTTTCACCCTCACGAACTATGCTATGCAACGGGTGCCCCAGAGAGTTGTGAGCCTGAATGAGTTTCCAGACATCACAGGCTTGCACG